CTGGATACGGAACCCGTGACTGTCATGGATTTAGATGTGAACCAGGGCTTCACAGACTTTTTGTTAATTAAGGTCAATAGTCCTTTGACGAATCCAAGGTATGTATTGTTTTACGCAGCGGAACAACTGGCTGACTGTCGATTCTAGCAATTTGACCATAGGAGCAGGAGATGTTTCCTTCTCATTGGAATTCGAGTAAGTCCGAGCTCAACTTTATAGGATTGGTTCTTAACTGTGCTTCTTCAGGGGACAAACCATAGGATCCGCTGTTCTTGTAAGAAAATCCCTCTCAGGCGTTATCTTCATCCCTCAACTTTATTTTTCTGCAGAACAACTTGGTAATCGAGCCCGGTACCACAACGTACGCCATCGGTTAGTGATCTCAGTCATCCTGATTAACGCAAACTCATCACGGTCAATAGATGTTGAATTCTCTCCTCAAGGAGGTGCGGTCGCTGCTGGACAAACGTTACTCGAGAACTACATCCAAGGAATCAACTCGAGTACTTCAATTGCAGGAAGCACAAGTTCCACGCCAATCGAATCTTTGCAGGAAGCTATGTCCGAGATAAAATTGTCTCCGGTCATAATTCCTGCCTTAGAGCAAAACTTGATAGTTAGCACGTCCTTGACCTTCCCTACGGACATAGTCAGCACGGGCGTTGCTGAAGCGACCTTTACCCTAGATAATCCATTCACGGCCAGCATAAATCTCCTCACAGTCGTAGCAAATGCTTCGTACCAAAATAGTATTACCCTCGGCAGTATCAATGCTGATGAAAGTTCGAATCCGATTCAAGCACTTGGCCATTCATCCGTTACATCTCCAACGCTTCCGTTCAATTTTAACCTCAACCCAGTTTCCATTATCGAGCTTTTAGAAGCAGGTGCCCAAACGAACGGCGTCGACCTCGGGCCTCTCGTGGAACTATTTGAATTCATTCTTGACAATCCTGATTTCAAACCACCTGTACGTTCAAAAATCCATTGGCTTGAATTCGGTAGCTCACAAATACTCACTCTAAATTCAGGTAAATACTTCCGTTGATACAGCTGCCCCAACGTGCGTCAGCGGTACCCAGTTCGACTTTGAAGACGCGATCTTGGACTCCCTGAAGAATCTGAGGATAGATCTTGCCATTCAGTCTTCACTCAAGCTCGATGAATGTAGGCTCAACGATTGTGCTCCGACGGAGTGAAACTCAACATCTTTTTCAGACGCTACCGATCTCGCTTTCGTTCAAAACAATGTCACAGCGATTGTGAGTCCATCGCATATCTAAAGAATTGCTGCTCATGCTCTGTATTTTAGACCGACGATACGGCGTTGTTTCTCATTGGCGCAGTCGCTGGACCTGTCGCTCAAGAATTGGTGGATCAATCTGTGTTATCGTTTACTGAAGCCAACATTACGTTCGTATGCTGGCATTACTCTCTAAGCAGCAAATCTAACGTGCTAACTAATCCCAGCGACATCACCAATGAAGGCTTTTCTCTTTCTCTGAAAGGATCTTTGACCGACACTGGTCCTCTCGATGCATTGATTACCTTCACCGACCCTGTCACTGTCACATGGGAAGGTCAAAGCATCGCGACCATCGCTCTTCCTCCAATATGCGCTGCTGCGAACACAGGAGTGCCGGACTACGAGACCAGCGCAACTCTTTCCATCACCGATTTGGATGCGTAAGTTTTGATGTCGTGAAAGTTTTGAACAGGGACTGATTTTAGTCTTTCCATAGATTTACGACCTTTGCCACTTTCTTATTGCACAACCCAAGCTTTACCTGGACGATATCATCCCCTTCCTGTTCAACTTGTAGCCTTGGGAACTATCTTCGATAATGTCTCGCTCACAAAAAACATATCCTTCAACGCATTCAACGGACTTCCAGGCGTAACGATTAGCAACTTCCAGCTTCCTGGAGACAATGCGGCGGGTGGTATAACCATTGAAACGGATGCCAATATCCCGTCACCTGCGCGTGCGTTTGATATCTTATTTTATCCCTAAACTTGAACTCATAGTATCCTTTACAGAGCTGGGTATTGACTTAGGAACTGTTACATTTGACGCATTCTACGATAATGTTCTTGTTGGACGTACGTGTCTTGCAATATCCATGTAATTTTTTCCTGACGACATCCATTAGCATTGGTTGGGGACGACTTGTTCCTCGCTGCGAACTCAGACACTACTGTGGACCTTTCCGGACGCATCATTCCTCAGTCTGGCTCTGATATTGATACCATTGGACAATTGTTCTCAGAATATTTGGCTGGAGACAACATAACCCTTGTGGCCCAAGGTGTTTCTGTGCAGCCTCCAGGCACATCCGAGAACGTAACCTGGCTCAGCAGTGCTTTCACGACCCTCGCACTTGATGTAATCCTCCAAGGCCAACAGTTCGATGTCCGTATAACTCTTCTTTCATTGGTTAACAAAATATTAAAACTATTCTCATGATTCAGGTCATTCAATCTATAACACTTGTTGATCTAGCGGTGACGCTCGAAGATGAGAGCCAAGCCTTTGATCCACCTACTAGCTCCAATTTCACGTCGGCGACATACAAGAATCCGTTTGGTTTCTCTTTGCAAGTCATTGAATCTGCTACCAACATTATATTGAGTTCAGCTGGAGTGAACATTGCACAGGTAAGACCAAATTGTATTGTCTTTCCTTAGCCTTCAGTTAATCCATACCGCAATAGCTCAATCTTCCGGCAGCGTCCACAGTTGGCGGTGTCTCTACCGGCAATATTGCTGACCTTCCTATCTCCTGGAGTAATGTGCCTTTAACAGCCTTGAACGATGACGCGTTCGATGCCATGCTTGCACAAGTTACCCTCTCGAACTCGGCGAGCTTGGGATTGAGTCGGTACTGCTAATGTGACGGCAGCGACGAGCATTGGAGACGTTCCGATTTCTGGTATCCCTTTCAATGTCACATCGAGCTTGAATGGCAAGTCACTTATGGTCCTGGTCCAGCTGTCTTCGACCTTTGTAATTTACCATATGCTTTGCAGGTATTGACTCATTCGGAGGACAAGCCACGCTGAGCAACGTCACCGTGACCGGGAGCGGAGGGACTGGGGGAGACCAGTACATTGTCTCTCCTCTAACGACGGCGTTGGACAATCCTTCGAACATATCGCTCCAAACCACAGACATTGCTCTTCCTGTGTATTATGAAGGTGTTTTGATTGGGTCAGCTGCTATCGATGTATGTTGTCTTTGCTCATTGCCTTCAAGTTGAGGTGGACTGAAGAACATATAGACTTTCAATCTCGTACCTGGGTTGAATAGTTTCCCCGCTGAATTCCAATACGAGCCCACGAACGCCAACGACACTACAGCCCAGGTAAGAACAGTTGCTCCGGATACTGACATGAAACTAAACATCTTTGATACGTAGTCTTTCATTACCAACTTTTTGACAAGCACAGAGACCTTACCGCTGAGTATCATCGGTGATAGTTCAAGTACACCCATAGACTCGTTGCAAGAAGCACTCTCAGGTCTCAACCTCACTACTTCGCTGCAAGGTGGGTTCAAGTCTCTTTGACTGCGATAGGTGCTTATGACTCTACACAGGAATGGGGGACAGCTTGATCAATAGCGTCAATGTATCCATTACATTGGATAGTCTAGTAACCAACTTTGGTGTCTATCAATGTTGCTGTATGTTTCTTTCTCCAAAATTTGGATCAGTGATATCCTCAAATACGATTGTGCACAGATTTTCAATCCCCTTGACACAGAGTTGATCGTCTTGGGCATACAGTCAACAGGTAGTCTCGACGGAACCGTGTACGCTCAATTTACCACGACTTTCGATTCCGGGGACTATGTCATCCCTCCTGGAGAAACTGTTGTATCACCCACAATCGAAAACGTCCTCCTCGTTCAAGGGGCAATAGCCTCTTTAGCGATCATTCCAGATGGTATTTTGGATGGTATGTACTCTAAAATATGGATTGATTGAATTAGTCTGACCTACGGTCCAGTGGCGGCTGCCAATACCATCCAGGTTGGTGTCGGCGGATATACTTTGCCATGGCTGCAAATCAACCAATCCTCCGTCCCGACGACTTACAATTTGGACCTTACCGATGGTATCAGTTTAGATTCCCTGTTGTCGAACGCAACCTCTGTAGTTTCTTCGCTTGTTTCTGGTAACATTACCTCCGCAACGGCTTCTCAGAGTGGATCTGCGTCTGCGTCTGCATCTGCATCTGCAAGTAGCGCTCCGAGCAATGGCACGGTGAGCTCGGCTTCGTCTTCCTCGGGCACGGCCACCACTACCCAGTCGAGCGCAAGCGCTTCGTCGTCGGCAAGCTCGGGTTCATCTTCCTTGAACGCGCCAGCCAGTACCGCCACCGCTCAGTCGACCGCGACGGCGGCTGCCAGCTCTAGTGCTAGTGCCACGAGTACAGCTGCGGCAGAAAATGCACCACTAGCAACAGCTGCTTCTCCAGAATCATCCGAGGTATGTTACGGTCTCCTTTCCTCGTACAAGTCGGCTAATGTAGAATATGATTTACCACAGGCTGCTTCTTCTGCCCCAACTTCATCGGCTGCTGCTTCATTTTCTGCCCCAGCCTCATCGGCGGCTACTGCTTCATCATCTACCTCAAGCTCATCGGCAGTGGCTTCATCATCTGCACCCTCCACCGAGTCGTCCTCGTCTTAGTGGCAAAAAAAAAAATTTTTATTGCTTTCCAAGGACTTTTCATGCGATGTTTAGGATACCTTATACCTTTGTACTTTATCAGTGCTTGATGTTAAAATGAACGAAGGAACGATTAGTTGTAGCTTTTTCTTGGACCCAGTTTTGGTGCTTTCTATTTTTGCATAGGGACGTCCTCATTCAAGCTGTCTTGTTGAGATTACTTCACATCTTAGCTCTACTGTATTATGTATTACTAAATTTAAACGATATTTGCTGAATGGATTTCAAAAAAAAATTCAGAGTGCATGGCGTCGAAAGTCACTATCTCCCTGGCTGGGAGTCGAACCCAGCTTTCGCGCGCAATCGTAACATCTAAGTCAGCAATGACAGGCGCGTGTACTAACCGATATACTACCAGGGAGTTGCGAACTAGCTTGATCTGTTGATCTATTTATCTAGAAATTGTGATACTGTATGTCCGAAACCACAATAAATAAATATCATACGCTACACTACGCAGGTGGAAGGAATGCGCTCCAGAGTAACACAGACATGCGTACCCCAAACTACGGACCATCCAACCCACCACTTGCCTGCTTTTGGATGGTCGATGATCAGCCATGCAGCTGCCCAGTACACCAGCGGCATTGAGGGTGCCAGACGAAGGACAATTTGTACATGCGAATTGAACAGCAACATACAGCACATCACACACGCGTGAATCGCATGAGGCGTCATCGACGACGACAGCACCTCTTTCGATGTCAAAATATGCGCAGAGTATGCCAAGATGACCAGGAATGGAGGGGCGGCGATGATGAAGTTGGGAAGCTGCTCCAATGTCCAGTAGCGTAAGAAACCGGAGTTCCAATACTTGGATTGAACATGGGAGTAGATGAAAGGAAGTGATTTGGAGCACCATGACTGTATTGCATTACCAGCGCAAAAAGCCATGTATCCAGTTGTCTGATGATATATAAATGGGGAAAAGATCATAGCAGAGTAGATGATAGATTTGACATATGCAGAGATATGTGTAGGTGGTTTCGAGGATGCGAGGAAAGGTTGGATTAAGAGACCCCAGAGTATGTAACCGCTTAGGAGTATTCCATTTGAGCGGAAGGAGCTCGCAAGGGTGAAGCAAATTGTAGCAAGAAGCCAATTTGAGTGTGCGCAGTAAAGCATACCTGGAGATCAATCAGGAGAAGTTGATGTGAGTGGATATCGACACACACCTCTGTAAGAGAGATAGGTGAAGAAAGGCTCTGTGGATGATGCAAGACGCAGGGTAGCAGGGCTACTTGGTAATAGTGATAGAAGAGCAGCAAGGAATGCCAGATTGGGTGAACCAAAATGATTCAGTGAGAGACGATAGAGGACAGCAGTCGTATCGCAAGCGATAAATATCATGGCGACTGCGAGAAGGATATCCGAGCTGTTGAATAGCCTCAGAAAAAACGGAGAGCCAGGGAAAAAGGCCCATTCGTGTTCGTAAACGTAGCCTTTATCTGCAATATGAGCAAAATGGAAAACGTCCCAGCGAAGAATAGGTTTAAACCATTTTGAAGTGCTTATAACGTTGGGAGACGCGTCAAAAAGGGGAAGATTGGACGTCCAATAGGCCAAAATGTAAGTTAGAGTTTGAGAAAGGAAAGAAAGAAAAGCAAGACGCGATATGTGTTTGGTGGCCGTTTGCATCAAAGAAGCGATAAGCGCTCGATATAAGCGTTCAATGTCGACGTCGACCACAAATCTTCAAGAATTCCTCACTTCTATCCCATTCCCGTTAACAGCTGTTCTTATTCGACTTTCTCCGTTTATTTCTCTAATAAGAAATGTCGTCGAAATTCTCACTTGGTCTCGGTCGTCATACGACAGTTGGCTGACGGTTGCTGCTTGGTGGGCTTTCTGCCTCTTAGGCCCGACTCTACGGTGAGCACAATAGCTACTTTCTAATCATCCATCTTGACCGAAATATAGATACTTTTTCCCAATTGCAGTCATTATTATATTGACCGCTTGGCCAACTACGCGGCTTGCTGCTCCTTTGGTTTCTGAAAATAACCTCCAAACAGCGTAATCACGGATCTAACAGTTATTCAGTCTCTTCTTCCCAACCCTAATCCAACTTTCCGACCTGCATTCTACACTCTCATACGAGTGACTCTCTTCCTATATGCGCCCTATCTTTCTGTGACCTATCTCATTCCTCTTCGGATCCTTATTGCTCTTGCGGGAACTGTAGCATTAACCTGGAACTCACCCTGGGCCTTTGTCCTACGAAATACACTAGCCAAAAGTGCCTGGGTTCGATGGAGCGCATACTATGTTTGGTATAAGCTCTCTGGGCAACCTCGTCCCTCGCCCACCTTGTCATATTCGACCCTTGCAACTTCGAATGCGGTAGAGCCGGGGTCGACACTCCGCTTCATCTTTACTATATATGAGAGCCAGAGGTGGTGGGTCGGAATTGACTTCTCGCCAGCGCTGTTGCCGACAGAGCGACCGTCGTGGTCTTCAGCGAATCTACAGCCAGTTTCTCCGCCGAATGCGTTCGTTCTTCCAGAACCCACCTCAGTTATCTCCGTGATAGTAATGGGAAGCGAGTCAAGCGAACCGCTACCTGGAAATGGGAAGAACCAGAGTGGAAAGTTTTGGTGAGGAAGGAGGATGGTGCTGTGAGTCGGGTTGAGAAGCCGATGCCATCCGCCAAGGAAGAAAACCAAAGTCTGCTAATGAAGGCCGCAGGAAAGATGAAAGAGGTCAATGCTGGAGAAGGTGAGCGTCAGTCATCTAAAAAGGATGAAGATGAATCGGAAGAGGAGGATATTGCAACTGATGTCGATGGGTGGGTCTACGGGGACAACAAATGGGAAGGTCGGAGTAGTAAAGGCGGAATGGGAAAGTACACACGATATAGACGGTGGACACGGGTCGCTGTGGTGAATGAAGTTGTTGAGATAGTCGAAGATGGGGAAACTGGGATAGATGGTCGGAGAGGTCGTACGAGTATCAGCATGGTCACTGCCAGTCCAGTTACTACCAGTCCTACTCGTCGAACCGAGGATAGTCCGGAAGGAGAAAGTCCTCTTCGACAACGACTAAAGTCGGCTCTCACAAAAGGAACATCCTAGGATCTGTAATACTCTTACTCTGTAGACATACATCTGTAATCATATCACTCAGCGAAAAGATTTTCGGAGCCTTCAAATGACTGAATTTTCATTCCTTAGTCATCGAATTTTTCTTTTATAACTGCATCAATTTGACTTCCACCACCTCCATTACCTAGCTCATCAACCATGGACGAACAACATCTATTTACCTGCATCTCTTGCTCCATCGCATTTGTATCCGCCGAGGAACAACGTACGTCTGTCTAAAACATCCTATTTTGAGCTCGCAAGTAACAGCATGATCCAGGCGTGCATTACCGTTCGGACCACCATAGATATAATATGAAACGTAGAGTAGCTGGCTTACCTCCAGTCAGCGCAGCCACTTTCAATGAAAAGGTCATCGAAAGACGTACGGAGACTTCTATCATGTCTTCGCTCAAAGGTTCTGCTTGCCAAGTTTGCAAGTAAGTGATCAGATCAAGCTTTTTATTATAAAACTCCAAGTACTCATTCAAACGACAGTAAGACGTATTCTACAGAGAATGCTTATCGGTCACACATCAACTCCAAGAAGCACAAGGAGAACGAGCTTCAAGCAAGTCTGAAATTAGCAGCCAAGCTCGCAAAGAAGGACGGTCTCGAAACGGATTCTGAAGAAGAACCTGTCCAAGTACCTTCCTCGGAGATGGCTGCTGTATCTCTTTCAGATCCAGAACCTAAAGCACCCGTCTCCCTTGTCGTAGACGAATCGGCACAAGACGACGAAATTACCCAAACGATAGACGAAAAGATTGCCGCTGCTCGTTCTCGGCTTTCCCCCGCACATTGTCTCTTTTGTCCTTCCGAGCTTTCCGATTTACAGGCAAACCTCCTTCACATGGCTTCCGTGCATTCCTTCTTCATCCCAGATGCCGACTACCTCATCGATGTCGACGGCCTCATTCGTTATCTAGGAGAAAAGATCGCCGTCGGGAATGTGTGCATATTCTGTAACGGAAAAGGTCGAGAGTTTCGGACACTCGACGCTGTGCGGAAACATATGACTGACAAGAGCCACTGCAAAGTCGCTTACGACTCTGCGGACGATCGGTTGGAGATTTCAGATTATTACGACTTTACATCTTCTTATCCTGATGCTCACCTCCGAAAGCAAAAGAAGAAGCAGGATGAAGAGAATGAAGAATGGGAGGAAAGCGATGACGATGGAAGCGAAGCGGATGAGGTGGTGGATGAGGAGATTCAGAAGATTCAGACGACGATGAACTCGCGGCAAACGAAATAACATACGGCGACTCGAATTACGAGCTCGTCCTACCGTCTGGCGCACGAATAGGCCATCGAAGTATGCGGAGATATTATGCTCAGTCGTACCCTGGTGTGCATAGAGATGCAAAGGCTGTCGATCCAAACTCTGGAGCTGCAATCGTACGCCGCTTACTCGGAGACAAAAATTCTGTACTCGTCCCTCGAAAGGGCGGGTTCGGTGCTTTTGGAAGTGGTACGGATGTTGTGAAGGCGCGTAACAAGGGTGAAGCTAGAGAAGCAGGGCGACACGTACGCGAATTCCGAGACCAGAAGCGTCGCGAAAACTTCAAGACACAAGTTGGATTTAGAAACAACAACCAAAAGCATTTCAGAGATCCATGTAAGCATCTTCTGCTCCTTCTACTATTCTCTGGCTCACTCTCGTTTTTTAGTGCTGCAATGATTGTTCTATCATGCATATTAAGTATGAAGTCATTAGATGTAACATGTAACCCTTGTAGTGCTTGAAAACATGAAGATGTACGTGGAAGAGTCTGTCGTGAAAGAAGAACTGGGTATCGTGCACACGAAAACCGATATACAAGAAATTGGAAAACGAACGGCAAGAAACGAAAGGACACGATAATAAATTATTCTAGTACAAATAGGCTGCGGGTACTACACCTTCTTGACCCGTTCTTACATCCCGAGCATACCACCACCTGGAAAAAAAAAGGTTTGTTAAGCCCAACGCCTAGAGATAATGAATGAAAACATACGCATGATCTCGGTCATCCAGCACTTCAACCTCAGTTCCTGCTGTTAGTGCAAGTTCTCCTTCACCAGCACCATCAAAGGAGTACCGAGCATGGGCAGGTCGGCTGGTTTCCTCGTTCCCCATAGCGCCACCATAGGCACTCGGCGTATCAGAACGCACATAGTTGTCGCCGTCATGACCATACTCGGCCTCCATACCATCACCCTCAATCCGCTCCTCCTCTTTTTCGGCACTTTGCTGCGCAAACGGACTCGCACCAATAATGGTTCCCCGCGTTGC